CTAGGAAGTCAGCGTTGGTTCCCTCAAGTTTCTCAGGTTTCTCAGGTTTATCGTGTTGTTTTTGTGTTTGACAGTTTGACGTCGAGCTTTGTTATGATGCGACCGTGGGAGACTTCTGGATTGAGGATGAAAACGAGATTCGCCTACAGCGTGAACGTGTTGACAAAGCCGTTCTAGATACATACAGGGCCAAGCGAAAAAGCTACCACGTTTACAAGGCAGCAGCAGCCTTGTGGAGTGAGGGTGTTGAGTGGCAAACAGCATTGAGTATTATCCAACAAGCTTTCAATGCGATGACCCATGAAGCTGAGGGCTAACCGTGTCCAACGCAAACAAAGGCCAAAGGTCTTGCTTTTGCGCTGACTGCTTTTGGTTCAGGTCTAGTCTGTTAGACCCTGTTCGGAGTGAGTGTTGCGTTCACCAGCGACGGCTTTGCGAACAAGCTCCGGCTTTCAACCCCTTGACCCACTGGCTGACCACCAAGAAGGGAGACAAAAGGAAACAGAAGGGAGACAAAACAGACTCAGTACACAAGCGTTTGTGTAGAGAGCATCCTTCACAAAAACAACCCTGTCAGACCTAGGGTTGTTTCTGTTGAGGGGCACTGGGGCCCAACACAAAACCATACCTCCCAACCCAAACACCACTGGTTTTGTTAATGGGTTTTGTGTTGACCACCCCTGGCACCAAACACAAAACACACCTCCTGTTAGAAAGCAATGGTTGTGCAGAATGGCAATGTTCAGTTCAATGATTTTATGTTAAAAAATTTGGGTGCGGCAGTACCGTTTAGGGGGTCACCCCCGGTTAAAATTGAAAAGAACTTGCACCCAACAACGTAAGTAGAGAAAAATTTTTTTGTGCAGAATGGGGGTGCCATTCTGCACAAAGAGGTCCGCTGAAGTTCCTGGGCCCGAAAGATGGTTTGTGCAGAATCACAGAATCCAAAAGATGATTTGTGCAGAATCACAGAATCCAAAAGAAGGTTTGTGCAGAATCACAGAACTCAACGCACGTTTTCTGTAGAATGGCGCCGCCGTTCTGCACAAAACATCCTTTGGATTCTGTGATTCTACACAAAACATCCTTTGGATTCTGTGATTCTGCGCAAAACATCCTTTGGATTCTATGATTCTGCACAAATCATCCTTTGGATTCTGTGATTCTGCACAAAACATCCTTTGGATTCTGTGATTCTGCACAAAACATCCTTTGGATTCTGTGATTCTGCACAAAACATCCTTTGGATTGTGTGATTCTGCACAATAACACTTGGGTGGTATGTGGCTCTACCCGAACCACTTCTCAGTTTCTGCACACAGAATAATATTTGTTTGTTGCTATCATTCTGTGTGTTGTTAGTGTGCTTCGGCTCACAAACTAAAACTTTTGTTTGGTTTCGGTTGGTTTTATGTTCCACAGAAAGCACCGGGTTCAGGGACTCTAGTGTGTTGACGGGCATCCGAAGAACTTAGTGGGCCTCAAAGAACCTCAACCATAGAACCCCCATGGAACACAAGTCGCTTCGTTTAGCTTCGCTAAGCACTCACTAGTCCGGCTTCACCTTGCAAAGCAACCGCTGTGTGATGCAGATCTTTGCACCGCACGCCCAAGGCATTTTGCAGGGAGAAAAGAATTGGGCAAGGGCGATGTGTTTAAGTTCAGGCGTTGCCTTGAGATGCCTATGAGACAGTAAAACATCGCGTTTTAAGCTCGTTGGTCTCGCATTAAAGCGCGTTACATCGCCAGGTTCTTGTCCATGGAGGCGAGATCGGTTGCTCACGGACCCTTTACGCTTGCCTTTGGGCCCTAGCAGACAAAAGATGTTTTCAGTGAATTTTTGTGTCAGGAGCGCGGAGTCCTTTTTTGACAGTTGCTGATTGAAGCACGTGTCTCACATTCATCTTCCGGCTGTCAGGGTTTGGACACGGGACCGTTCAGACCGGTGCGGCGCGATGGGGAAGCGGCCCTCAACGGGGTCCGAAGCGTCCGGGAAGTCAAAGGCTAAAAAGACGAAGCCGGAACTTCCAGATGTACCAAAGGAACAACTGAAGGCTCAGCACTTCAAGATATTTGAGCAATGGTTGCACCTAGCCAGCCAAAAAGGTTGACTTATGAATACTGCTGTCACACTGCTTTCATCTTGTTTGCTACGACAGTGATGGTGCAGCAGTTTTTGTTATGATACCAGCTAAAGGCAAGACAAAATCAAGAGCCACGAGAGCATGGACCAGTACTTTGTTGCCAAGTACAGTGCCAAGGACACGTCGACGTCAACTAGTAATACATCCAATCAAGTTCAGTTTGTTGAATTGTTTCTTGCAGGAAGACCTGGTCAATTTCCTGTCATGGATGGACACGCATTTTGCGCCTGAACACGCTGTGCGAGAGCCCCAAGTGTGTTTGCCAGTGTCCTGTCCTTCCTCAGGCCGTTTTCAAGAATGAACCTCTGAGGCCATATGCCACACCGGATGCTTTGAGGCGACCAGGCGGCCTATTCCTGAGGCCGTGGCACATGACGTATGCCACGTCTTGCGGACTCAAGGGATATCTGGAACCAGAATCGTGGTTGAAATCATTATACATTTGTCGATCCAACAATTTGTGCCGTCGCCCGTTGACATTTGTTGACATTGAGGACGTTCTTTTGCACATATGCCAGTTGATCATGTGCCAGGGGTTGCTTGATTTGATTATATGTCATCGCGTGCGCATGCAGGAACCACACTGGACCGACCATTAGCCAAGGTTCCTGACAGACGCCAACATGGGCGGTGTTGAAAAGCTTTCCGTTTGCAGTTTGAGGGAGTTGGAGGCCTACGGCTGCAGGCCACCCCAAGTGTTGGATTCAGAGATGCTGGCGCCAGAGTGTAGCGGCTTAGCCCCGCCAATGGGTGTGTTTTTCGTGAAGGGATGGACGCGCGGGTTCAGTGCAATGACCTTGATGCTTTGTTGCTACGGGAATGAAGAGTTCAGAAATTCATGGCCCGCAACTTTTCAGCAGCTACTTGGCTGACTACTTGGGGGAGCTGTTTGATGGAGATCAGTTTGCAAAGAAAATAAAGGGCGCCAAATAGCATAATAGATTGAACTCGTTCCGCCCAGGTCCCTCAAGACCATCCATGCTGCTGTTGTGATGGGTGAGGGTGATGATCCTTCCATGCTGATCATGAAGAACAGAGGCCCAGATCTTCAGAATTTGTGGCCTGCGTGGAACATACCCCCCTTTTTGGTAGCCAATGAGAAGTGGTTCGCCAGGCATTTCATACCAGAGCACGACGCGGAGACGGCCCAACTGCTTCACACTGTACTTCCAGCTGAAGCTCATCAAGGCCATGGACAGGGAGGAGGCTTGTTCGTTCGAGGCCGGACCGCAGTTTTTTGATGTGACCAAACGGGAACTTGACGTTTGGCAGTTGCTGTGTATTGTTGGGACCGGGGCTCAATTCATACTTGTGGCAGGCATGGTCCAAGGCGTCAGAGGTGGCGCAGGCCTACAGCATAGGGAAGCTAGAGGCCCAGTCCGCCCTAAACCTCTTCAAGGAGATCGACTCTGAAGTGTCGGACACCCTGGGACGCCTTGTGAAGAGACTTGCCCGCCTACTAGTCTAGATGTGTATCACTGTTAGGAATTGGGCAAGGAATTTCATTCGTGAGGATGCTCATTGTTTGGATGTTGATTTGTTTTCGTGAGGAAGTACACTATGCAAAAATTTATTCTCCATGAAGCAGTAGCTTCCAGTGTCTTCAACCGGAACTTCACCTCCGGGTACGGTGCCTGGATTCCTTGGGAGGCCGAATTGAGGAATTCACCAGACATCCTCAAGACTGTATGTGACCGCCTTGGTGGAGATTTTGAGCAGACACATGCAAAGCTGAGAAAACCATATGGGATGAAAGACACGGAATCTTGGGTTGTTACAAAACACCTTCAATTTGACAAGTTATTGCTCACAATGGAAACGATACCGCAACTCACATAATATTCTTTCTGCAACACACACAGTTTTTGCCCAGGAGACCATTCAGCGGCGATGCGCAGGCTTCCACGCCCTGTTGAACCAGTTTCGATCCAAATACCCTGAGGAGTTTGTGAAGGCTGAGGAGCCAACACTTGTCAAGGGGTTACCTTGCATATTTCAGTGTAGGGCATTTGATTGCAATTCGTTCTAGCGCAGTAGACCTGTGAGTAGGTAAGAACCCGTTCATTCAATGTCAGGTTCCTTTTGAAGCACGCAGATGCGGAGATTGATGTGTTGCTGGAAGAGAGCGTACCACCAGCAGATATCTCGCGAGTAGGCATATTCCGAGCTCCCGTCGCCAAGCATATGAAAAAGGCAAGGTTCGACTTGAGTCTACAGTATGTTTTGTGTGATCGCTGCCTCTTTAGTAGTCTGGCGTGTCAGAGAGCAGGTCGAGGCTGAGCGAAATCAGGCCAACGAGAAGTTCCTTGACATGGCTTTTTCTTGAACTATGCCTAATGCGTGTCGTGCTTGTTCCCGCACCTCAGGATCATCGAGGATCTGTCCCAAGCGACCCTGGCTCAGACTCTCAGAAAGCTCAATGATGACTTGGCTGCAATGGGCAAGTTTATGACGACCGTGACTGAGTGGGCCAACCGCCAGGCACTGATAGTCAGTGTACTACTGTGAGTAACAGCAGATGATAGTTGCTCAGCTTGTAACTTACGCTTTTAGATGAGTGTCAGGCTGGGCTCGATATGCAATACCTTCAGAAGCGGTTTGAAAAGGGAAAGCTGTGGGTGGAGGACTACATGGCCAGTCACCACAGATGCATGGCTCTGAGTTTGCCAGAAGCGCACGCGGACCTCCTCCAGTTTCAGCGCAGCGAGCAGGGTGGACAGGGGTTACTCCATTGCATTCAGGTCAAAGGACTGTGAAAAGCCTCAGCTGCTTTCCGATTCCATGCTCAAATGTTGCATGAGGTTCACCCTCATGATCATCGACTGCAGCCTTTGGCCATCTTTCCGTTCCTAGATTGCCAGCGTGGTTGAGTCATGTGACAAGTTCAATTGTGGATGGAATCGTTTTTGGTGTAGGATTCAAAATTTAGCTATCATCATATCTACCCAGGCCCACTGATCATCGATGAGGCCGTTCAAGTGGCCAAAACGGTTTGCGCTAGTGACAGCAATGCTGCTTTGCTGGCACTTCACCCGGTTCTGCATGCCTCGACAGAGCAGATGACTGTTTTGAAAAACAAGCGGCACCTAGAAGACAAGGTCCTGGCGAATCTCATCTCAAATTGATAGCTTTTTTGGTGCAAAGATGGATGGTAGATTGGTACTTAGTATCTTCTTACTTCTCAGAGCCTCAGACTCAGAGGCAAATGGACATGTCAGAACTGACGGTGACGTTCACGGACTCCCAACATGCGGGCGACAAACGCCGTCGAGCTCAATCAGGCGCTGTTTGTTGTCAAGGTCTGATCGAGTGTGGCCAAACTCATGACTTTCTGCAATGAGGCACCTTGGCCGTCTCTGCCATTCACAAGCAAACAGGGTTCTCGAAGTCAAAGGCAACATTTGGGACTGTGGGCCCCGTCACCCGCTCGCGTGTCGCTGATTTATGGACGGACGATGTTGATGGCATCAAGCCTTGCAGTCCGCCGGGGCGGGTTCTTCCCTAAGATTTCCCTATTGATTGCAATGCAATGCAAAAACTTTGGTTCAACCTTTACACTGTGACCTTTCTTAGGCCCAACAGCGTGGTGTCGAGGCAACGGCGCAAATCCTACAGGGCGTTGTGGAGGGACTACCGTGGGACAGTAACACCATTATCTATGTAGTAGACCTCATTCCTTCCAAGTTTTTGGTTGAACCAATTACCAAGTTTGCTTTTGATATGTAAGCATTTTGCAAAAGAATGCATACACACATGATTCCGTCGGTCTGAGGTATGGCGAATGGAGCCGCGCGGTGTGGTCATTGCAGTCCAAGCTCCTCAAATCAGAGTCCGGGCCAGATTTTCGATTTGTGGGGTACTTTCCACCAGATGATGGCCCGGAAGCTGCAGCGAAGTGGCGCTCCCACATCGCAGGGCAAGTGCGCGCAGCTACTTGGGTTTAAGAAAGGGAGGCAAAATTTTGTGAAGATAACTTAACTTAGCAAGGTTGGTTTATTATGCTCTATTTTCTTGGGAGTGGCTACAATGTGCTGCTGCATCAGGACCATTGGGATTCCAGCAAAGAGGCTGGGCCTGCACAGCGTCCTGCAGCAAAGTTTGAGGAAGAGCCGCCGACCATGCAGATTTGTAATGTGACCCCAACAGAGCTGAAGTGCCTCAGCGTTTCATTTGTAATCTGTGCGCCAGCTTTACAGTAACTTAAAGGGCGTTGCTGGGTGATGCTAAGTGTTTGTCAGTGGTGGGCCCAATGTCAAAGGTTATCAGATGCAGCCTTGGACGCTGTGGCGGGCCGAACCGAGAGTTTGACGGAAGCGGTGAAGAAATTCAATGAGGAGTTTAGCATGTCGGTGCTACACAGCGCCAAGCAGGCCACAAAACAGGCTCAAGTCCAGCGGCCCGGAGGGACCCGCACGACGGAGGGAGTGTCACAGCAGCCGCAGCCCAGGCGCACATTGGGGCAGCCGATCTTTACATCACCAAATGTCCCGATCAACGTTTCGAGGATCGGAGTCCCCGCAGAGAACCTGGAACTGGCTGCGTTTCAGGAGAAAGAGCCATTCGATTGACTTTTGTAAAATTTTGTAAACATTTGAAGGCATTTAAAGGCTATATTTGGATATCTCTATTTTTCAGAAGATCAATGATCGGTGTGTTTATGATTGTAGTTGGCCGAGGCTGACAACGCAAACAATCCCACCTGTGTGCGACAAGATCCAGTGCTGTGTGTGCAAGGACTTGTGCGTGTGGCTCGTGAACCCAACGGATCAGAAAGTCACTGTAAACGCTGGGGAGCTGTTTGGGTTCAACCTCGGGAAGTTCAGCGAAAAGACACCAGGTTCGGGTCGGGGGCATGGTAGTTTGCTATGAATTATGATGGGGCAGGGGAATGCTAAAACCATATTTTGCTAGGCAAATACTATGCTCAACTGTGACAGGCGCTTGCCGGAATCCTGCGACTACAAAAGATGGAATCCCCTTTCTTTTCGAGCATGATCACACCTTGATGATCTTAGCGGATGGCTCCAGCAAAACGCCAACTTGCCTGGCGATGATCGCCAACCAGGTGGCCAGCTCGCAGGGGATCACAGAACTTACAATGACCGATCACGACTTGGCACCGCAGACTGAGGCTGAAACTTGGCTATTAATTATTGTAACCTGCAGCACCTGCGCTTAAACTTTAATCTGGAGCCTGGGGTAAATCTCGAACTTGTTGCGCCCAGGACGGCGCGACAATCAAACCGTTTCGCTACAATTGCGCGCCCCGGGCGCGCATCAACTTCTACGAGCCGAAGCCCTTGGATGGTGGTGCTGATTTGATGGCGTGCCGCTAGTCGCAAATGGGAGCAGCCTTCGTCGGATCCCTACACAGACTGTCGGTGGCTCCAACCGCAATTTGCCAAGTGGTCTGGGAGGCTGGCCGTCGAATGCGTTGCGTGATATGTTTGCTTGATAGTTGTTTTTTGTTTACACCAACCTGTGCTGAAAAAAGTCCTTGGACTGTCCCTGTCAGGTACGGTTGACCACAGGGATTCCCGCGGTGGTAGCGCCGCTCAAGCCAAAAATGTGGCTGACGGCGAAGGTTGAGATTGAGCCACAGAAGGCAATCAAACTATAGATATTTTTCCCAGGCAGTCAGTTATTTTGTTGAGCTTGGATGGCCATTCTGGCCGTTGTCTCAAGCTCTGCGACGGGCCTTGAGCTTACCACCGGTTGATGAGCTTCCACCGGCTTGGCAGTGGAAAGTTGGTGAGTGTAGTGCAATGATGTTTGTGGCAGTCATTCAACTGAAGGTTTCAAATCTCAGGTTGCTTGTCGTCCTTATACTTGTGTGATTGCTGAAATTTGCAGCTCCATGATTCCATTTTTTGGGCATCCCGGATCGTGGCGGGACCGTGCGCCCCCGCCAATCGTCATGCCGGCAGATGCAGTCACTGAGTTATCGGATGACGGTGCTGAAGCACTCAACACAGTACCGCCGGCAAAAGCCAAACCAAAAACGGCAGCTTCCGCAAAACCAAAACCGACAGCGAAACCCAAAGCGAAGCAGCAGCCCAAGGCGAAGCAGCAGCCCAAGTCGAAGCAGCAACCCAAAGCAAAGTTAGACCTTCCCCGTAAAAGGCCTGCCGCAAACTCTGACACCCCGAAGGACGACGAACAACAGGAAACGGTTTCTCCCAAAGTTGAATCTGAACTTGACAACCCAGAAACCGGCGCAGGGCGCCCAAAGAAGAAACCCGCGTCAGCGTTGTGCTACAGGGCCTACAAATACTGTTACCACAAAAGAACATGTGGGGCGTGAAAGTCAACGGCACCGAAGTCGTTACGGCCGGGCTGTGTTTAGTTTGCTGAGTGTATTTTTTCAGAATGTTTGTGGCAGTTTTGAGCATTTGAACCTAAGAATCTATTACTAGATTTCTTTTGGTTGGAGGTGAAGTCCCATCCAACCATCAGTGATGAGAAATTGGAAGAGATTGCTGATTTGAGCTTAATTTTTGTCATGTGAGCTCATTGATGTCAGCAATTTCCTAAAGTTCATTCGATTTGACGACATTTCAGGAAGCAGCTCGCTCCGAGTGCGAGAAAGGACCCATCGACAAACAAAAGCTCAAGGACATGGTGGTACGACCCTCAAACCAACACCGTGTGTTTTTTCATGTTTCGCCGCTACAAGATTGAACTGACCAATCGTCTGAGGGTGCGATGCGTCAAGCAGTGATCACGAAGGCTGAGCGAGATGCGGCTGCTGAGGCAGCGTCTGTCCCAGTGGAAGCTGAGGATGAAACAAATGAAGCCGGCGAAGCCGGCGAGGGCGAGGGAGGTGAGGAGGAAGAGCCCGAAGACGACAAGAACGTGGACTAGACTTAGATGTCTGCCTGACTGGCGACCAGACCAGCTTGGAGTGAGACGGGCCTGGAAAAAATGTTCGACTTGGAAATCAGGGCGGGTAGACCGGGTTGAAACGACACATATTTGTGTTCAATCAGACCAGTGTGCCAAAGGTTTTAAAAATCAAACCAGCGTGCCTAAGAATTTTTTGACCTTTAAAATTTCCCCTGGCTCAAGTTTCTTCCGCCCGGTGAATGAATCAGCACCTGGAGTCAATGAACTATGACCAAGAATGGTATTTTGTAAAATGCCACGAAGTTTGCACTTGAAGCACTATCTCCCTGCTTGCCACCAAATTTGAACGCAAGGCTGCGCCCAACATGCTTCCCAGTCACCGCCTGCTACGAAATCTGAAGCATCCTGTCTGTCGACCGCCTGCTACAAAATCT